GGACGATTAAAGGGACGGATGAAATCCGTCCCTGCTTAATGCGTCCTGAAAAGAAAAAAAAACTTCTCTTGCTCTGTCCGAGACAGACAGACCGTTCTGTCCCAGGGATGGAATGCCCATCTCTGTTTATTTTAGATTGTGACCCAGACCTATAGGGTAAATATGAATCCTAACATGCTACGTGCTCACCAGATTTCAGTCAGATGGAGTGAAATATTAAGCCTGGCAATGTTATGTATGGAAAAACTGGATGGAAGCACACTAAGAAGTGTTTTTACTGTCTCTTGGTTCAATTGCTGTTTTATACCTTTCTACACTTCCTGTCCAGAACAAAGCCCAGTTCATCCAAGAGAGCAGACTGCAGTCCCCCACACAGATTCCTCCACTGGGCCGAAATTAAAACATTTGAATTGTGTAGTTGTTTGTTTGGTCCGTCTAAATGGAGCTATTGTATGCAAACAGTGTGTGTAGAAGCATATGACCTCTCAGTGCAGGGCTGTGCGGAGCAGCGTGTATGTGTGTGAGTGTGTGCGTATCTGTGTGTGATACCATTAGCAATGCAAAGTCCTGCTGCTCCGTTGCTCACTGGCACAGATTTGTTCAAAAAGCCTCCATGCATAAATGTGTCCGGATGTTATTTGTTATAAGCATCATCTGAAGGTAAGGATGCTTTGCTTCTTGTGCGATCATTTTTAAAGCTGGGTTGTCTTGCTTAACTTAACAAAAAAATCAGCAAAACTTGCACAAGTCACTTTTGGCAATTTGTACGCCTCACTCTGATGAGGGGCGAGTGTGTCACATGACGCACGGTGCCAGGTCACTCATAAAGAGTCTGCCAAATTCAGTGGAGGGCAGAGAGGCCCCCTTCTTCTCTTTCTGGACAGTTGATCCTCCATGCCAAGCAAGTGGGCCAAAAGAGTTGTCATCGCTGTCTCATATGCCTCTTACGCCTCCTCCTGAGCCGGGTAACAGAGCCTCACATATATTTATACTCAATGCAGGGATGATGCCGTAGAGCAGACATAGTATTTTAAAAATGTTCAAGCTTTCATCATTATTCATGCAGATATACAATTCTGACTCATGAAATATGACAGATACGTGGATTTTAAACTTGTTTTTCATTTACCGGTAATCTCTAACATCCTCACTTGGGGGTGGAAATTGAACCTCTTCGGGATGAAATTCAAGTTACATAGGTCATGTGATTTGTGAAGTAAACTTCTTAACTCTCCATTTGTAATGTGCAAACTTGCGTGATAATATGCAGGTGAAGCAAAATTATAATAACGGCACAACTACATGGATCATTATGAGAAGTGTACAAAAGTAATATGACATTTTTTAAATTAGTGCAAAAGTCATGTAAATGTTCAGTTTAATAGATGTGTACATGTTTGATTCAAGTTTGTTTTCATTTGTCTTTTTGAAACTTTTTTTTAACAATCAAATGTGAGAGGGTAAACAAACAAAACTAAACTGCCATTCTGGTTATATGAGAGATTTTGAAGATACTGATTAATGTCTTGTACATGTATTTGATGTATGCAAGTGTACCTAATAACAGGTCCTCACTCCACTGAAAGGCAGGATTCACCAAAAAGAAACAATCCAACAAAGAGGACTGAAAATATGACACTAAATGGACTCATATGATTGACATCAGTGAGACACCGGTGTGGCTAGACCACGACAGCAAGGTGGAGTATGGGCTTATGGAGACAGCCATCAAAAATGAATTCCAACTTTCCTGTGTGTCTTTCAGACCCGGAACAAAAAATGAACTGGGCCTCATTTTATGCTGTCATCAGCGGCGTCAACAGACACTCCACTGGAATCGGTCGCATCTGGCTTTCCGTGCTGTTCATTTTCCGCATCCTAGTCCTGGTGGTTGCAGCGGAGAGTGTGTGGGGGGACGAGAAGTCTGGCTTTACTTGCAACACCCAGCAGCCCGGCTGCAACAGTGTATGCTATGACCACTTTTTCCCCATCTCTCACATCCGCCTGTGGGCCCTGCAGCTCATCTTGGTCTCCACTCCTGCCCTGCTGGTCGCTATGCACGTGGCCCACCGGCGGCATGTGGACAAGAGGCTCTACAAACTGTCAGGGAAGAACAATCCGAAAGAACTGGAGCAGATCAAGAGCCAAAAAATGAAAATCACCGGCGCCCTCTGGTGGACATATGTCATCAGCCTGTTATTCCGGGTCACATTCGAGGTGACCTTTATGTACGTCTTCTACATGATTTACCCCGGTTACAAGATGATCCGTCTGGTCAAGTGTGACTCATACCCCTGCCCCAACACAGTGGACTGCTTCGTGTCCCGCCCCACGGAGAAAACTGTCTTCACTGTGTTCATGTTGGCCGTGTCGGGCGTTTGCATCCTGCTCAACATTGCGGAGGTCGTCTTCTTGGTGGGGAAGGCCTGCGGCAAGCACATGCACAATGCTGGAGACTCAACCACAGGGGCTTGGCTCCAACATAAACTCGTAATCGGGAAATAAATCTCCTTCAAAATGTTGCATACATACCAGTGATTTTAGCATTAACAGCCAATTATTAACCTTTGATTTACATTATGAAAGTACAATACACTATATAGCACAATACACTAAGATTCAATACATGTATGTTTTTGTGTTGTACATGCAGTGGCAACATTCTGCTTCTTTTAGACTTGAATTGTATACATTGTACTGAAAAGTAACAAATGTCTTCTGTCTTAACTGGTGATTAAGTAGAAATGAATGAACAGAAAACATACAGTGCAATACATTCCTTATGACTGACAGTGTTTATGGATAACAGATAAAAAAATCCCTGTGAGGTATTTATGAAGCACTAAATCTAATAAGAGTGTGTGTGATTTTACATAAGTGCCATTGATCTTCATGGTGATGTTTCCCGACCAGAAAAGAAAAAAATGTGAATGGCATGGCGATTCACTGCATATTTAGTGGCAACGTTGCCATTTTTAGAGGTGAGCTACCACCTTTGACTAAACATCTCGGGCAGCTTGGGTTCTCCTTGTTAAGGCTCCAGAGTGCAGAGTTCTGGGTTATCAATAGCCTCGCCATCTAAGAGGTCAGACGGCAGGTGACAACTGTTGAGCCCGCCGACAGATAGACATGCAGAGGCACTTCTCTTTTTATGGAAAGTGTCAACACTCCATCATGCACAGGTGAAATTAACCACAAGCACACAGGAATTAAAAACAAATCGATCCTAATAGTCATTTACTTACAAGAATTAAGGTTATTTTGAACAGGCATTCTTGAGACGACAAAAAATATTTTGTCGCCATAAGAAATGTTGACCTACCATCGTGTGTAAACATTTGGTTCCCTCATTTGATTATCAAAGTACCAAAAAAAAAAAAAAAAAAAAAAGTTAAATTAATTAATAAATTAGTTACATGAGAGTGAGCTGAGCTCTCATCCGACACCACTGCTCACAACAATCACAAATAATGACAACATTGTTTGGAGAATGCATTTTCTGTAGTAGACAGATAGTTCTTCGGTAACAAAACTATCCAGCAACAGTAATTTATTATTTTTTTTAATCATTACATTTACTGGTTACACAGGCGCAACTGTCTGAAATTTTAGGAGGAAAATGCTTCTCTTCAGGGGCCGTCTGTTGCACAGATAATTGAATGTCTTTGGATGACCTTTTCATCAATTCTCTTAAACCATCAGCATGCTGACAACAGTGCTAATGACGCTCCATCACCCATAAGGGTATATGGATTCTGATGATGGATGAAAATCCACATCGGAATTTTCATAGTTGTCATCATGGTGTTTCCGTAATCGCACTTTTAAGCTTAAACCACATAATGGTGTGTAGTGAAAAGTCTCAAAGTTGCAATCCAAGCACAATTTTGTACTGTTGGCTGTCACTCTTGAAAGTTTCGGTCCGGAGACGTCAATTTGGCATGAAGCTGCCGTATGTGGTAAATAGAAACAATACAAGTTAATTATGTGAGGAGTGAGAACACAAGTTTGGAGAACTTTCTTTCGGGGAGAGGAATGCTCGACAGCCAAGGGTCACCTCACCCAAAAGCCCAGAACGCCGCCACTCGGATGACAACAAAAACGCTCCCTTCCCCTTAACTTATATTTAGACCACACAGACGTGCCGCATCCCCTCAAGAGCAATCAGCTGCCGTTTGTCTGCATAGAAACTCACACTCTCAAGTGAGGGCTTTCACGATTCTCGGCAATGCGTCTTCACGTGAGAGGCACAAAGCCTCATTTGTGGCGGCTTGTTGAATACACAGTATTCTGACATATCAGGAAGGGAGGTTTGCGGAATCAAAAGAACACACACAAAAAGGAAATTATTCGGCAGAAGTTTATCTTGGCGCTCATCAACGGTTCAGAAAAACATGACCTTCATGTGAACTGAAGAGTACAATTCCTGACCGACTCACCGTGGAGCTCAAAGGAGATGATCATTAATCAGGTACAGTATGTCGTGGGATGACTGGTGAAGAAATCATGTGTGATGTTTCGTCAAATACTATAAAAGCAAGTAAATATAATAGCGCAATAGTTTAAGAAGGTCAATTGCATACGTGCAGTCAAAGGTTGACACTTAAGTATGTCTGAAGAAATAATTTCTCCGATTTTCAATAACAGAAAAGCATGCACAATTGTTTTGGTCTTATAATCAAATAACAGTCTTTTAAGTGTTCACAAAATTTGAAAATTGCATTTTACTACTATGCGGTGTTGATTTGAATTAAATTACAGTAAGTGCTCAGCCCCACCCAAAACACAACAAAAATTGCACAATCTATATCCCAAATTGAGTTATTTTATTGAAACTGACATGGGTTACATATTCCAAACAGGTGCTCTATTGACATCCACTGGTAGGGGCCCAAAAGGACAGGCACAAGTGTTTTCTTCAAGTTTGCTGCAGTGTCACCACTAAGAGGGACTGAAATATAAACTAGAAACCTAAATCTGGGTCTTGTGTCACAAGATCTGTCCTCCAGCAAAAGTTGTTCAACAGCAGGCAGCTCCAGCTCTCCTACACTCTCACCCCCATTTTCCCTTTAATGAGTGGATAAGACACAACCTTTAGGAAGACAAGTAGTTGATTCATGATCAATCGCAATACATTCTATCAACTGCGAGCTCAGGCGCCTTCTTTTTCTGCTGGGTGGTTCACTAGCAAACACGTAAGTCGCCTTCAATTCTATGCATTTCGTTTAATATTTTCGAAAATTCTTGAAATATTTTTTTTCTCAAGCAGAGACATTAGTACAAACTATTAGTAGACAAGGCTGCTCTTTCAATCCAGGTAACCTAGTTGAAACGCTTGATTGATCTCTAAAAAATGATCCAAACATTTATAATGAGTGAAAGAAAACTTAATGTGTTTGTTTCGTATCCTGTTTTAGTCTCCCACGTTTCAACCCTCTGTATATATAGAAGGACCTGTTATTAAGTCAATTGATTATTATAAATACAATTTGATAGCATTTATTAACTTCATTGTTTTCCATGACTACCCAGTGGATGTAGAATCCAAAGTCAACAAAAATGATTCCACTAAAATGCACTTTTACATATATCACTAGTGAAATATTGATGTAAAAATAGTACATATGTGTTATACAATAAATGATGTGTTTAATACAGCCTATGCAACTATTATTCTTTCTAAAATAATATTATAACAATTTAAACTGGTATAAAGTAATATAGCAACTGTATGGGTTTCAGTCATTCCTCTATGTGTCTATGACAGCTTTTTTTTCTTTTTTATTTAGTCTGCATTGAATTTACTGTGGAACCCTTGGAGGGATGCTTTATTGTGCTAAAACAAGCATTAAAAATAACAATATTGCAATTCTTACTAATGGCAGTCATAATAGTCATAATCATTATTCTGTGTAAGTCACTGAAAATGTTGTGGTTCCCTGACTTCGTACAAGCACATGAGTTCATTTCACATTCAGTGATGGAATGTGGGTGCGAAAGGTTGTGGGCATGGATCCATGCTGTATTCGAAATGCATTTTGAAATGAATGCTGTAATGAAAACCTTTGATTTGCATTTGTTTTTCCACGTAGCGCTCGTGCTTCATTTACAGTACAATGGACCTCCTGGGACTGCTACAACAAGTCCAATGAACCAAGCATTTTGCAATTTCGAATGTAGTTTGTAATTTATACTCAGCGACAGGCTTTGATTTTGTGTTTCAGCCCACTGTGTTCAATTCACTGCAAAAATAAATACATTATGAAAAGTGTTTGTTGTTGTACTTAAGTGGTGTAGTAGTGTAGATTAGAACAGTTCTGTGGTGTTATGTGGTGACACGGGAGGGGCAAATTATTCGAGAGGCCTCGGTATTTTGCAGAAAAGCAATACAATTTGGCATTTTTGATACAGCTTTTGAAGTGAATCAAATACAATTGTGCAAGTGTACCTGTTATCTTTCCAGCATTTGCATATTAGTAGTGCCATGGAGTCTTTCTTCGTTCCACTGGGGTTTAGCTAGTATGATCATAAAGAGACCAAAATCTCTTTAGTGGGGGCCCTGTAGCGACGCCACTCAAAGAGCTTTGACCTACTACAACAGCTAAACTAGTACAAACGACACGACGCTCGAGGTCGGACGGACACGCTCACAGTGGTAATCTGTGTTTTTTTCCTTTTTCTGTCCAAATATATATTTTTCTACTAGTTTATTCTTGTCCACAGAGTCTTTCTTCGTCCCACCGGGGTTTAGCTGGTGTGATTATAAAGAGACCAAAATCTCTTTACCGCCACTATCATGTCGCAACTATGGAAACCATGAAAGCCATACAAAAATGCTGCAGAAGAGCAGTTATTGTGCCACAGTCATCATCAAGAATCTATATAACAAAATGATTAAAAAAATAAGCATACAAATGTAAATAAAATGTATCAATAAACACTCATTCACTGCCATTGAGCCAAATATGCATTGTCACTGTGAAGAAAAAAATCACTCTCTGGCCCAATTGCGTGCCTCTAATTTGATATTTATGAAACCACTACGTCCAAGGAAAAACAACCAATCAAGGTGTGACTAACAAGGTGTCTATAATTTGCAGAAGACAGGTTTGGAAAAAAAAGTAAAGGAACATTCCTGTTAGGGTTTGGGTGTGACCCCAAGAGCACGACAACAGGCAGGTATTGTAGAAGCCAACACTTGGCGTAGTTTATTTGAAGAGTCTTCGCAAAGTCACTCAGGGGGAAGCACGAGGAGTCCACAAGGAATTGTCCACACAAGGAACAAGCAGCTGTCGGAAATGGCAACAAAGTCCACTGGCGTGGTGACGGCACGAACTTGCACTGAGGAATGGTCTGTGAGTCAATATGTACCAGTCCAAACGAGCAGATAGGCAACAGGTGGGTGATGAGCTGACGAGTCTCAGGTGTGAGGTGCAGAGCACCTTGGCTGAGGAGGCTGCCTGGCTGGCCCCTCCCTAACAATTCCCAGAGCTAATAGTTTAAGTTATGTGATCCAGAAGTAATTCTAAAGGCTTTTGGCATCTTAAATTGACACAGCAGGACATGGTGATTGAAAAGTGATTGGAAAAATAATCTAATATCCATTCAGGGAACAAATTCTAGAATTTAGGTTTTAGCAAACCAGCAGTGAGAGACAGAGCGACACTTGTAGAGATTTCATACATTAACACGTGGCATGTGGTTGTCTCTACCCAGGTGATCTTGTCAGTAAGACTGAGGATTGAATAGTGAGCCGCCATGGGAGACTGGAACCTGTTGGGGAAACTGCTGGAGAGCGCCCAGGAGCACTCGACTGTTGTGGGCAAAGTATGGCTGACGGTTCTCTTCATCTTCCGCATCCTGGTGCTGGGATCCGCCGCGGAGAAGGTGTGGGGGGACGAGCAGTCGGGTTTCACTTGCGACACCAAGCAGCCCGGTTGTCAGAACGTGTGCTATGACAAGACCTTCCCCATTTCCCACATCCGCTTCTGGGTGATGCAGATCATCTTTGTGTCCACGCCCACGCTCATTTACTTGGGACACATCCTCCATCTGGTGCGCATGGAGGAGAAGTTGAAAGACAAGGAGAAGGAACTGGCTCTCCAGAGTGAAAAGCAACAGCAAATACTTGGCAACAAGGCCAAGAAGACATTAAAGCCCATCAAGGACAACCAAGGGCATGTGCACTTGAGAGGAGCACTACTTCGGACTTACATCTTCAGCATTATCTTCAAGACCCTTTTCGAAGTGGCTTTCATCATAGCGCAGTACTTCCTGTATGGTTTTGAGCTCAAGCCAATGTACCGCTGTGACCGTTGGCCTTGCCCCAATGTGGTCAACTGCTACATCTCCAGGCCCACCGAGAAGACCGTTTTCATCCTCTTCATGCTGGCTGTGGCCTGCATCTCATTGCTGCTCAACTTAGTGGAAATGTACCATCTCGGCTTCACCAAATGCCATCAGGGCATTCGCTACAGGCGGACGCAGGCAGTGAGGGAACCCGCTGAATCCGTCATCCCTTTTGTCTCCAACTACAACTACTTCCCAAGTGGCCCCACGGGGTCTGAATCCTTCCCAGTGGAGGCAAAATACGGCATCACTGAGCCAAATCCACCTTACAGCCCCTACAGCAAGGTGATGTATAAACAGAACAGAGACAACATGGCCACAGAGAAGAAAGGTAAAACAGACGGAGATGATGGAAGGGAGAGGAAAACCTCCACCTCGTTTCAAGAGATGCCTATGGAAAGCCCGCGCAGAAGCAGCCAGTCCAGCAAGCACAGCAATAACAAAAGCAGGATGGATGACCTAAAAATATAGACGTTTTTTTTTTTTTTTACGTGAGTAAGCAAAAAAAAAACTGCGCTGACGCTCAAGTTGTTTTTCATTAATTGCGAGTGACAGAAGAAAGGGGGCAGCACGGTGCGTGGGTCTTCCTCCCACATTCCAAAAAGAAGCATGCTTTGCTCCAAATTGTCCATAGGTGTAAATGTGGTTGTTGTTTGTCTATATGCACCCTGCGATTCAGTGGTGACAGTCATGGGCGTACCCCACCTGTCGCCAAAAGTCAGCTGGGACAGGCTCCAGTGCACCCGAAACCCGAATTTAGACAAGCAGCACAGGGAATGGAAAAATGAATGACAGTTGTAAGTCGTAAGTCACACTGGTGATCACTCAGGAAGAATGCATCTCTATTTTATACAAGATTTCGTCTGCGCTGCATCAAAATACAAAACATTATTCCAAGCACAATGTAAATGGACTAATCTGACATTAGTTTACTGGCGGAACAAAAATAAACACAGGACTAGGATTTCAGAAATGTTTCGCTCAAGGCACAAATTAAAAAACAAACATCTATTCATTAGATTCATTCTAAGAGAAACCTTATGTTGCTGTTTGTTCAATTTATTACATGACCTTATTCTGCTGGCCTAAACACTGTCACAAGCACTGACCTACATTTACAACCTAAATTCTAATATTTCTTCCATGAAATGTAATTGATGGTATTTCCAACAGTCTATTCTAATCATTTTGTGGCACTTCTTTTGGCTGTCTATTTCCAGTCACGTTATGTGTGTGTTAGGTTGCCTTATCAGGTTTCAGCCAAAATCCAAACTGCAGAGAATCCCCCCAGCCTTCTCTGCTATGTTTTCATGCGCTGTTGCAAGGATTCTTCCAGGAACCTCAACAGAGGAAAACTTGTAGTCAGTTGTTTGGGTTGAAACAAATCTTTTGTGACACGTGTTTTAAAACCTTTCTGACGCATCTCTTAATCTGCCCAGGACCTTCAGAATATCAAGTGTGAGTCGATGCAACATAACGTATACTGAATTAGCAAAAAGACTATTTCTTTAACCAATCAGATTTCAAACTTCTCCTGCCAGATGATGTCAATATTTTTCAAGCCTCTGACCAGAGCAAAACTTGACAAATTTGATCATCTTTTCATTCATTCAAGATGGTGAGAAAGATTCAAATCACCTCTCAAAGTGAAAGTGAGTGGAGATGACAGGGTTGAGGCGATGAATTTTGGGTTGATGCAACCAAACCTCAGTTCAAGAATAGCGCTGTGATCATCAAGTCACCAAGTCACGTTGATGTTTGTAAATCACAGACACAGACTGTATGCTTAATAGAACTTGGTGAATCTTCACAGCTTTATGACATGATATCATATGTTGATATTTCTTACGATGCTGTTTCTATTCATTCCACAAAATGGAATTTGACCACTTCTTCTGTGCTGCCTTTGGAAAGAATATCCATTTCATAAAGGTTGTCCAAGGAATCTCGTGCAGGGTTTTGCTTTTCCTTCATTTCACAAAAGGATTATTTTGGATTCTATGACTGATATGAACAGTTGGAGAGCTCTTAAGGAGGCCAGGTTGCTACACAAAATAATATTTATGTTGAAATGCCATTTTTTGTGATTAAAAAAAAAGACAAATCTAAAATTATCAAATCATTTAAAAACGTTCCCACTACAGTATTAATTGGTTAAATAAAGGGCAAAGTAACTAGAAAATATAATGTTTAGATTCCAATAGGGCTTGTTGCAGTATGCTGTCGCCCACGTGTTGGATCTCATATTAAGCAAGTGTTATGGCCAGTGAATCGAGGAACTAAGAAGGATTCAAACCATATAATTTAAAGATTGACCACTCTTTACTCTTTATTACTTTGGAACAACATTAATAACTGAAAAAAAGAGCAAGAAATGTCACAAGTCAAATGCAGCAGACAATAACTGCACATATAACTGAATGCATCAAATAGAATAGAACTCATCAGGATTTTCAAATTTACCCTTTTGTTAAAAAAAAAAAAAAACTCCCTACAAAGCAGTCATGTGAATCAATGCCTGGCTACTTTTCCCCTTCATTGACCAAAATAAAAGCAGTTCTTTTGAAATGTGCGACAGAGGAAATAAACCAAAATGAAAATGTCAAATGTCTCACAGGAAGTTAGTCTGAAAACATCCACAATGCATTTCAGTTCTCACATTTGGGCAAAACAAGACGAGCATATTTGTAAAAAATACATTCTTGTTACAGACAGTTGTATAACAAAAATACATTTAATATCTATCTTTTAAATCATTTCAATATATTCAGAGTTTATCATTTAGGTTTAAGTCTTATCTGTTGTATAACTTAACTATTTAAATGCATCGAGAAAGCCATCATACTGGAATAATGAATATGGCTTTCGGCTTTATTAACCGATGTCATCAAAGTAGTCTATAGTATGCATTGTTTTCTTTGACATGAGTAAACATTGATCATCAGTTTTCAAAGGTGATGCTGGTTTGTACTCACAATCGCACTATAGACTACACTTGGCAAATGCTATCAGAAATGACACTCAAAAAAAAAAAATCACTGACAGTCAAATCACTTCTAGAACAGTCTTTTCCTGTGCAACAAGAACAACTTAAAAAAAAACATGTGTATGCGTGTATGGCCCCAAGAGAAGAACATCTAGAACACAAGCATCCAGAACCTTTTGACCTGAACGCCTCCGACGTGTAGGCATAATCTCCAACAATGAGCAACAAGTCATTGGGACGCAAGCAGCAAAAGCATAGATTAAGAGAAAACAACACACACTTTGCATGTTGTTGAAGGCGTGCATCAAAATGTTGCAAAAGTGCTACACATGCTTCACAATAATAATGTTTAACTCAGTCAAACTTCCAATTATTTCTCTCAGGATAATATACATTTTAATGAATACAAATTGCACCCTGAGATTTGAAGTAAAATATCTTTCAAAATCCATTCGAAGCAGCTCTCTACTGAGCTACTAGTCAGAACGAGTTGAGTCTCCTTTGAAGCACCGCACTGGCGATACTGGTGCAGGGGTACTAGCTACACTGTACTGACAGTGAGTGTTGCAAATGAAGAAACAAATGACAGGATGCTTCTTCTCCAAACAGGTTTACAGGACAACACACTTCAGCCAAGCGTATATACAGTACATCGCATCGCTCATAAGCGTTACCAGCACAATGGGGCTGATTTGCACTAGGTTGATATGAAGGTCAGTAAGACATTGGAAAGTTATAGAACAATGTCTTCTACCATTTTTAAACACCGTAGCATAAACACTACTTTATGTCTTGTATACATTAGCTATATTGCATGGGCCCCATGTCATTCTGGTTGGGTGCAATCTGGAAATGGGAGACTGTCTGTGAAATCTGCAGAATGAGCAATAAGAAACTCAACATTATGAGTGTTAAACACTGTCGATTGACATACACGTACAAGAAAATAGTGGCACAGGAATATCCCTTGGTGAACAATACAGGAGTTGATGCCTCCTGTCTGCATGCACCTTGAAAACCATTTAAGGATTATGCATGTCAGCCCTTTTTACCCTTCATCCGCTAATCCTTGTTTGTTATATTAATCTATTCAATCACTTGCTATTTCCTGTTAGCTTCAGCTGAGCCACTTGAGCTAGCTTCACTCTACTCTGAATGTCAACGTGTCTGTCAAAGAAGCTGACTATTTCTGGCTCGTTGAGCAGTGACGCAAGGACCTGCTCAAACGAAAAAGACCAGTCCGCCCCAGAGAGGTCAGGCCCCGCTTCCTGGGGACTGGGAGTGTCAGAGTTTTTGGGTGTGAGAGGAGCTTCGTCCTCCCCGTCTGCAGGGTTGGGCTTTAAGGACGCAGGCGGGCTGCTGGGCTCCTGCAGCCTCCGGCCCACCTCCTCCATCCTCAAAAGGAGGCTGGTTACGTGGGCCACAGCGCGGTACAGGGACTCCTCCTCTGGATCGCCATGAAAAATGTTGTACAATGTCTTGGAGAACTGTATGAACTGAGCCTGAGATTTGAAAAGAAAGAATAAAGCATACCGGTACTTAGATAAATATGCACTCGATGGTGACACCACAGTGTACAGAAACCTAATCTGTGATCTGGGGACCACATAATGGAATTGCCAAGACATCTTTTGAACATACTGTGAAAAAGCTGAACGTAATTTTTTGTCTTTACGGAGGAGTTTTGCGAATCAATCTTGAGGAGTAACTTTTTCACTTTGTGGAACAATTTTTTTTTTCCCCAGGTTAATCCTAAAGAAATAGAGCAAGGATTGTATGAGACAATACACTCTGTGTCTGGGCGAGGGCTGTGGCCAACAGCAGCTTCTGCATGAGTGCGCTCATTGTGATCTTCCTGTTACTGTATTATTAACGTTGAAAAGTGCATCAGTGATTGTGACTTACTTTGCCGATAAAGGGCATTTTAGTAAGTAAGTACACTGTAAAACCCCAGAATTAGTGTGAAAGTCAGTGATATAGCAGTGGTGCGACTGCGAACGATGAACTGAAAAATAGTGGGACAAGACTGTCTCAAGGAAAAAAGAAAATGAAGAGAATTATATTGTTGTTGGTCCCCCTTTGCAGCTGTAGCAGCTTCCACTCTTCCGCAGATTTTTGCCACTGTCCGTGGAAGTTCTTGTCGATGCATTGGTAATATGAAGAATCAATACTGGTACTCTTTACACAAATATTTGGATCACTGGAGTGCGTGCCTATGCATGAAGTGTGAAATTAACTGACCGCTTATTTTTTCCTGAGCTGCCTATTTTTGAAAATGAATTGATAGGCCGATGTAAACAAACAAGTGAAGCGAATTACCTGATTAATTCTAGGAAGGTCCTTGATAGTTTCCTCTTTTCGAAGTATTTCATTCTGCCATTGTTTTAGGTAGGCCTGGAGGTCTACTTTCCCTCGCCCTTAAAATGACACAAACACACAATTAGTGTCTCACACACACAGGGAAGATTTTGGTATTTGCACAAAGCCTTTGACTGTATATGACTGTTAAAGTACCTCTTTCAGGACTTTTCTTAATCACACCATCTTCTGGAAGATCAAAATCTGTAATACAAGGGCTAAATGTGAGCAAAACCACATTAAGAAAATTGCCCAGAGAAAAATCAATTAGAAGGAAGGGTGAAAATTCAGGGAAAGGGAAAAGTCAGACTTGAAGGAGAGAAAAAGCAGTCAAGACGCTAACCAGGAAGTCTACTCAAGTGAGGAGAGCCCTCTGTCGTCGCAAAAAACTTTGGGAGTCTTTGTTCTTGTACGTGCAAAGGACTACCTGTGAAAGCTAGAAGAGACTGACTGTAAGCGTACTGAGAGAAAAGATGAAAAAAACAGTTGAGCATTAGCGAAGCAAAAGTGCAGTCAAAACAGTCACACAATGCATGTTTACTTGTCTGCATCAAATACACCACACGTGGTGATTTGGAATTTCTCTTGCGGGACTAATAAAAGCAGCTGGGATAGGTTGCAGTACGCCCGTGACGCTCATGAGGGTAAGCAGTTTGGATAATGGATGGATGGAAGAATGGTTGTTTTGTCAATATGTGCCTTTACTCGTAACCGGTCTAGGGTGTACCCCGCCACCTGGCTCAAAAGTCAGGTGCGGCTCAGCTTTTTCTCCTTATTGTGTCGTACATTATTTCACTTCCTTGTTGAGGTGAGTATCTGGATCCATCTCCAGCAGTCGTTTTTTTATCCACTTGCAAAAATCAATGCGGACCATCATCAGCTGCGCCGCTGAGAATGCATCCTGATATTGCTCCGAGGTCTGAAACTGGTCATGAGAGGACTTAACTGTCCTTGGCGACTGTCTGTCTCTCTCTCACACACATACATCATGTGAGTATTTCTGCCCAGTTGTAAATCATAATTTCAAATAGTCTTCCTCATGGCACAGAGAACAAAAATGCCCTCACAGTTCCAGACAGCGGTTGTTACCAGAGCAAAAACATTTTACCCCAAAGACTATTCTTGATGCTGCTTTCAATCACTCAGCGCAGACGTCATGCAGATCATCCTTCTCTGTTGAATGAATGATTTGCTAAACTACACTTGCGATTCGGAGGTGTAAAATAGCAATTCGGAAGTAAGCTTGCTTACCTAGCGAATGAATTAAAGGAGGGTGCCTCAAGGCATTTGCTCAGATAAATACCCGTGTAATTCAGACATATCACTTACCTGGTGGTAGATGCAGCTTGAAGAGGAACTTTAGTTTATTTGTGAAAGATCCACAGTACAAATTATCTGCAGGAGATGAAGCATCATGTTACTGAAGTGAGGGGATCCAGTCTTAGGAGCTGTCTGCATTTGTGACAAAGGAGGTGTGAACACTCACCAAGAGCACAACAGAACTCTTTAAAGTTGACTAGGCCATCTTGGTTCTCATCGATTAAGCGGAAAACCCACAGAGAAAGAGTGCTCTTGTTGGTGCAAAAAGCCCAAGGCTCCAGCAGGGAGAAGAGCACACTGAACTGTTGGAAGCCCAGCTGGTACTGCTCCAAGTAGGCCAGACTCGGATCGTGGTGAAGCAGTGCCGGACTTTTCATTGTCCAGTAGCAGCTAAGAAAATGCTGCCTCTGAAACAACATAATTGGAATGCTGACTGCACTTAAGAGACAGGGTGTATTTGCTTTTTCGAGGAAAGCAATGTGTGTCACTCACTTTGAACAAATTGTAAAGATCGTCAAGTTGGGCGGGAGTAAATTTGACTTCTTGGGACACTACGCGAATCTGCAAAGAACCCCATCATTACTGTTATATTCAAGAGGCTATCAGGCTATAAACACAGTAAAATACACTTTCTAAAGACCGCAGACACATTTTGAAAACATTTATTTTTTTAAGTGTGTGTGTGTGTGTGTGTGTGTGTGTGTGTGTGTGTGTGTGTGTGCGTGTGTGTGTGTGTGTGTGTGTGCTGCGATCGACCACAGCTCTTGAGCTAGTGTGCTATGGTGTTTTAATGTTCATTCTGTGTTCAATAAATGGCTAAAAATAGCATTGGCTCTCCTTTACCAAAGGCAAGGCCATTAAAACGAGTATGTATGGTGTAAAAACAGATCAAAACAAACAGTCCCTATCAACATTTCATTTTTACGGTATAGTAGTAGGTGAACGGCGAAATAGTGAGGGAACACTAAATAGTGTCCACTTACGACATTCTGCTTGGTTGTGTCCTCCAGTGTCTGGATCACAAAAAGCTTGTTTCTCTTTCGTGAACTCTCAACCTCCTCTGCGCGAATGCTGCCGTATTTCTAAAGAGAAAATGAATTCAAAAACTCAATAAATTGGATCTGTAAGGGAAAAAAAAATACTGCAGTACCTCATAGGCGTCTCGGATCAGTTCGCTGATGTCCACGTTTAAGTGCTTTGATTTGTCGTTGTTGGCTACAGGGGCCTGCTGCACTGTTGGTGGCAATGGGCTGTCTTTGTTTGTCACGCTATCAAAAAATCTCAAGAGCAAATTGAAAATAAAAACATTTCAATGTGAACTCTGAGTAGCACTAGCGATAGAGTGGCACAGCCTGGCTGACGCTTACTTGTTGAGGATGGTAACCGCTTCAGCATCATCGTGGCAGCTGATCAGAGCTTCCATGTTGTAATCAAGCACGGCCAGGCCGAGCTGTAGAATGGCTTTGATGCCATCATAGAAAAAGCAGTCCACCACATTCACAGCGCTTTCGATGGGCAGCACACTGATGAAAAGGGTGAGAAACCAGGACAACGAAACGGACGAGAAGAAACTCAGGTCCATCATATTCTCCACCAGCTGGGGGAGGTTCTCTCGAATCAGATCCTCAAAAACAGCCTGGTCGACCAAAGCCCCTGAAGAAACAAAGTCAGCGTGCTGTCACCCAAGTTAATCATTCGATTAATTGTTACGTTGATCTTCCAACTTCCTCGATATAAAAAGCAAGTAGCAGTGTGTGTGTGTGTGTGTGTGTGTGTGTGTGTGTGTGTGTGTGTGTGTGTGTGTGTGTGTGTAGCCCCCTCTCTCACCTATAATTCTTCGGTTGAAATAATCTGGTAACATCCTCTCACAGACAGCAACTAATAGCCAAAAGGCCTCCTCCTCTTTGGCATAGAGCAGCAACACGGAGGTCAGAATGTTCATGGCCTGAGTAAGAGAAATGAGTCACTTTTTGACTGAACTGCTCTCAGAAAATTACTGGTATTAAGCACCCTTGTGTCCCTTGAAAGGTTACTATTAATGTGTGCTGTGTGTGCATTTTTCAGAGCACCTCAGCCTTTTAATAAATGCTCGAAATTTGTCATGGGAAAGTATAATTGAATGCACCTTCGTTTTGTTTACAAATATAAACAATACATCCACTTACTGGCAAATGTGCACTCTAATGAATTCAAAACAAAAGCTAAATCAAAAAAGAATATAATGATCCTCAAACAGCTATATATATATATAATGTGGAGAGACTTTACCTGGCAGTAGCCAATTTTCGGGTTTCGATAGGCGTATGCGGTGAGGACTCTGCGTAGGGCGGAGATTCCTGTATCACTCTGAAAGGCAGGATGCTCTGGCAGAGAGCGATGAAGATCTCTCTCAATCTCATCTGTAGCCAGCGTGCTCGTGCCCAGAGACTGTTCCACCAGCTCCGTGTAATAGCCAGGGTGAGTTGCCATGTCGTTTACGGCTCCTTATTCATCACAGCGCGTCAAAAACGATTAATAGTAAGAAAGATTATTATGACACGAGTGTGAGAAATACATTTGGTGTTATACAAAAAAAAACAAACCTGAAAAAAGCATCCACAGCTCTCCTCTCAAGGCTTCAGGAACTCCACGGACAATCAAGTCACGTGTCTTCCTGGTGAAGAACATACTTGTGCCACGGCCATATTCCGAAAAGTGGATGTTCCAAGACTGCTCCTTCATCTTCTCTTTAAGCTGTTGATCATGAGGATAAGAATTCTGGCATTAAAGTGTTTTACCCAACATTTTCGTTTAGCTCCTGATTGATTCATGCATTCATCAAAATGTGTCTCAATACTTCAAAATGTGTCTCAATACTTCAGTCGATAAATGGGGTGGTTGAAAATGCCCTATTCTAAAACACTTACAGTATAAAGGATGGATTCATTTCTATTTATTCATCACTTTTTTGAGCTTACCTTTCAATGTATTCATTTTTTACCCCCCTAAAATTAATATTAGAGTAAAGGTAGGATAGAAATTAGGTTTTAATTCAAAAAAAAAAACGTCAGAGGACTCCTGACTCGCCACTTATGCCACCACTGCCATTCATGAACAATAGCAAAATGTGGAAGTCCTGCCGCATCATGAATGAGAATGACATTTTTTCAACATTCTCCCAAGCACGGATAACTAGCCAGATTTCATCTTGCATTTTGGTAAGTCACCTTTTGGCACTCAAGGTATCACAAACAATGTACGGACCCACAAAATCCAAAGTAATCCTACACCACACGGTTACTTAAATTGTCATACATTAAAAAAACAGATGCACATAAAAAGAAAAAAAAAAACATTAAATACTCAGACACAAACTTTAAAATGAGTTTCTTTTCAATCACCCCATAGTTATATACATTACTTTTTTCCACATCCATCAGTCATTAGTAATGTTGTTCTAAATGTCCTGTGTGTTTGTTCCATACCATTTTGGGGTCAAGGTTTTCAACATCCTGGGGGTGGAAAACCGTCATAAGCGCTTCAGTGCTTACTGCCTTGCTGCTGTCTTTCTGGCCCACCATCATTGTCACGTCCTCTGGGTTGTCCTCAAAGTGGTTGATGAGCGACTGACATTCGCCTCGGATGACCTTAGTGACAAGGACGGAATCATTTTTGACGTTAGAAAACAACGCCTGTACATTTATAACAATCAAGACTTGTTACCTCTGCTGAGGCTGAGTGCTGTGGGCTAGGACTAATCCCACATCTGCTGCGGATTGTTGTTGCCAGACGCTGGTAGTCCCGCACTTCAGTGAATCGGAGGGCCCGTTTCCCGCGCACGTACACTGTTAAAGCACGGCTGCTGGAATCTGGCTTCTCAACATTTACGACCTGGATGATGGTGGCGTTGGCCAGCCAGAAAGTAATTTCATCAAATTACGTGCGGCGGAAGGAAGTGTCAGCATGGAAATAAATCAAGTGAAGCCGTGTATGTTCTACCTCGCGCATCGGAATGATGATGTGACACTGGCTCCCGTCCTGGCTGGCAAAACATAAGTAGTTCTCAGAAAGGCAGATCTTGCCAAGTGTATTAAAATGGCTGAAAGGCACCCACAGGAAACTCTCATGCACTTCTAACAGATTTTCCTCTTTGGGTAGCCTGAAAAATGTCCGGAACTGCTCACTTTTTGCGTGAGCCTCTAGGCCTCTGTGGGAGGGGGAAAAAAATGTCATAAAAAATATCATGAACACTTATGTTTAACAAAACAACAATTCAAATTAGTGTGACTTTTCCCAATATGTCGTCTTAAGAGGCATTTTGAAAGCAGCCTGAAATATTTAGCTTAGTATAAGGCAGGCAATTTGTAAGGCTGTTTCAATGTATGTGTAGTGTTGCCTATTGAGACTAAGTGGGCAGAACAAAGTGTTTTGCTGCCAGCGAGTGGGCGGTGTTTCTCGCACTGTGATTGAGGTTAGTTGTGACATGGTGGACTGCTCTTCTTTGGTTGTATTGTGGACGAATACCATTGTACGGTGAACAATTTTGAATCAGACAACAAACTGCCATGAAGGCCAAACGGCAAAAAGTGTCGCGTCATTTCTGTTACTATATAGGTTAAAATAAATGGATGGATTTTTTTAAAACACTATCTGACTCAAGACATAATGGGCAGAAAGACAGCACCTCTTGGTAATTTGCAGCGGGTCTGAGAGTGCTCGCTCTCTTTCAAAGGCGTCTTTATCGAAAAGGCGCTTAATGGAGTAGTCGGCGAGCTGCTCCATGATGACGAACGTTTCGTTAAGGCGCAGCAACATGGAGAAATAGTGATCTTCCCCGTGAGCCACCACATGGATGCTCTCAGTCAGGAGGACATTTGAAGTTTTCTCCAACCTCCAGATCTCGTCCCAGGAGATGACCAGTTTCACTAACGATGCAATCAAAATAGAAAATAAATTATTAACCTATCATCATAATGGCAGAATTTAAATATGAACATGCTGCCTTTAAATGTTTACATTATGTAAAAAAGTAAAATGGCTTTCATTCTAGACTCATGGCTTGTTTTTCATATTTTCTGCTAGATCATAATAGTTGAGAAGTGTAATGTCGAATGTTATGACTCACCAAGCATCATGACGGCCTTGCAAATGGATTTTTCCGGAAATGGAAAATATGTCTGACCCGATGTCGTATTTTGTATCAAAGTGGCCGACGTGGCAAGAAATGTTTTCCAAAGCGCGTCTTTTTAGCAACATGGTAATTTTTACAATGCTTAACCCTATCCAGGACTTTTTTTTCTTTTTTGTTTTTATGAAGTCACGACAGAGTGGTTTCGTCTCACACCAAGGAGTGGCATTTTTGAGCATGGATACCAGCAAATTGGGAGAGATAATACATTATTACAAAGACATATATTTGATTTTGTGGGGGCATGCATCAAATGAGTGCATGATATTCTTGAGAAATTACCATAATGGATATTTATACGAAAGACAAAAAAATTGACATTAGTTCAAAATTTTTTGTAGTAAGAGAAATGTAAAAAACCTTCAAAATACAGTATGTTTGTGGACAAAAATGCCCATGAAGCAAGCTGAAAGGGTAGTAAAACTGAACAAGGTCTTGGGGTTAAATAAAGGATGTCACTGCTTATGTAAGCAAACAACAAAGCCTTTTCTCACCCTCAGCTCCCAGCAGGTAGGAATAAAAGCAGAGGAAGTTGGTGCTGAGGTAGAGCCAACCCTGGCAGGGCACTTTGCCTTTCCAGTAACTACAGGCATAGTACGTGACCAGCTTCTCCTCCTGTGGCAGCGCAAACCAGTTCTCGAACCTCAAGTATGCCTCTCTGAATTTCTCAGGATCATCTTCCAGCACGTGGGACGTCTTCCCTTCTTCAGCAATCAGACCCTGAGAAATACAACATTTGTACAGTACCGTGATACATGTCTTATAATGAGTCTGAACATGTCTATAGAGTAAAGTGGGCATCTTGTCCTCAAGATTTCATACTCTGATCTTGCCCTGCACAAAGCTGGTGATGTCCTCGCTGGAGTCGAAAACAGAAAGGGTCTTCATGATATTCTGCTGCAGCCAATCCCAGTGCTGGAATATCTCGTCCTTTGTGACGCCTGACACAACAGAAGGAAATATAGCTTACAAACAGCACCAAAGGTGTTTTACCCTTTTCTTTACTGAATTTAAAAGTTCAAATTCAGCAATAATGGAATGATATTACAAGCTTATACCGCATGCTATCGACCAATACACTTGTGAATCCGGCGTGTGATGCAGTATGCGGAAAGGAGCAACTTTGGATGTGGAGTCCAGTACTGTGTCCAACGTTCCCACAAGGAGACCTGCATCATAAATCACAATGATATTTTTAAGCAACACTGCATGACCCCCATGCATGTCTCCACACTACATGCAATTTTGGGCTACATGAGACAATTACTACTTAAATCACAGCTGTACTCTCATTATTGTGATATCGTCTTTGTCAACTATCGTTTGGGACTAACAACATCTCAAATGTTGACTATGTTTCTGTCAAGCATTGGTCTGTATAGCGCGTAGGACATCTTCCCTTCTTTGGCAGTCAGATTGTGGCTCTGACAGGGTGGAATGTGATTCTGGACTCTACGTCAGAGATACGCAACTACCACATCTGGCACTTTAAGGCTTCTCTCTCACACACCCTCCATTAATGATTAACAAGTAGATGGACAGACTCCAGATTTTAACTGGGCTTGCTTAAATGACCTCTCGTATGTTCCAGGTGCCGTTAAAGAATTTCAAGTGTTACAAAAACACAATACACCATCATGCTCTCATTGGGAGGCAACAGAGGTCATCTCACGGTACAGAATAGACATACCCCCCCGGAAAGATGCTTGAGATAAGAAAGGCTCTTGAGTTGTAGAGCGCGTCAGCTGCTGCATTCAACTGTCGCTGTTATACTAGTTAGTGACTAACCTCTGTTCTCATGAAAGCAGGCAGCTGGGATGTATTATCCTTCATGGAAAACACCATACATTACTTTCATTCATTTGTCACACAAGGGTTACAAAAAGTGAAACGCTGGCAGTAGTAAAGTCTAAAAATTGATTATACTGGAAACATATTTCATATGGCTGGATGGAGTCCTACTGCTCTGAATAAGATTCTGCTTGTCCTTGTTTAAGATGCAGAATGTCATAGCAAGACAACATCAAAGCGTGTAGACATTTGCTGACAGATTTATTGTCCAGGCTGCAAGTCTGTGATTACAGGGATTTTAAAACAGAATATAATGATGGATGTTGGTAGAACTCAAATTGTTTTGCGTAAGAAAAGAGGTATAAGCTGAAAAAAAAAGCAAACTGGTGTAATCATTGCTTATACATTTGGGTGAATTCACCTGTCAAAGTTTAATTCAATCGAATTGGTTTATGAAAATACACGTACAGTATATGAAAATAAAATCAATCATCTTTGTCTGGTGAGCATATTGTGCTGTTCCACACGTCCAAACATGTAACTGAAAACAATTTATTGTGGCTGAATTTGACTTCCTTTGTTATTGGGAGGACTACTTTTTATTTGAGTAATATTCATGTAAGTACACTTGCTTACCAACCACTGATTTGAAAACTTTTCACCCCTAAGTGATGTCAACACAAAGTGACCTGGGGCTCTAAACAACAAGCTTTTACACGTCATTTTTTGCTAAACCAATGCAAGATAAATTATTCATTCTCAGAGATGGTGTGCAATCATGCTCTTAGTCTATAATTATTCAAGCTAACCTGAAGCATTGCTGCAGGCCAGCCAGCTCGAAATGAAATCCACAGTGTAAACACCCCTGCACTTTGTTCCATGCAAAACAGGCAACTATATGCTATAACAAACTACACTTTTTGACAGGCAGAGAACAACGTTTAGGGCACGCCACCGTTTCACTATTTAGCTCTAAACCTGTTGCAGTACATTTCTAGCATGCTACTGTATACAGTAGCACACTGTCGTTTCTTTCTCGGGCAGGCAAATACGACAAAGATGAAAAGCTTTGGCCATTCGTGACTCGTGAGCCTAATACCAACTTAGTATCTTAAAACACAACAGCTGCCAAACATGCGATCGATGAAAACATACCCGTGAACATTACCTGTCAAGCCTCCGCCACCTTCACCATACCCTCGCCTCCTTTGAAGCACGAAATATTCATTATCCTTCTCGGTAACCCACAGTTTAAAGGCGTTTTTCAGCAGTATTTCTTCGGGTTTGAGCCACATGTTTAAAAAGCGTCAGCGGGATCGCTTCCAAAATGCTCCTGTCATGCCACGGTTACCTCCAGCGCAGGACACACATCAAGCCCGTTGAATATTTGTTTATGTCCGCGGTCAGGATGCTTCCCTTCCCACGTAGACAAGAAATGTTTCCAGGCGCAAAGTATTGTGGGATTGTAGTTTTTCAGAGGTGGGAGGAGCCAGTACAGTACGTCCTGTCTATTGTATGCTTACATGCAGAGTACACGTTGTTGTTCTGCTTGGTTACAAATGTCGAATAACTTTAATTTCAGTTTCTTTTTTTGTCTATCTCTACCGTAATTATAGTGCCCTTAAGAGTATCGGCATGTCTGAGTTTATATATTTCAGAATTTTTTTTTTTGCTTACTGATTTCAGTTGGGAAGAAAAAAGTGTATTGTTTAGTTGTTTCAGTTTTCACACGATTGTCGAAACTCGCTTCCTGTTCTTCAGGAAGCAAATGTTGGCCAACAACATGCTGATTTGTGTATTGGGAAATTGTGTCACTCACGCTTATAAATTGTAAGTCTCCTCTGTAAGTGGTGCATTCATTTTAAAAGAGCAGGATACATGGTTTCGTAGAATTATAAAATAAATGCATACATTCAATGTTTTTGTTAAAGGTGTCATGTTGACAGCAACAAGAATGTAAATGCAAACCAAGCTAATTTATTCACATTGAAAACTGTCACTAGTTGTGCAATGTAAATTCACATCTTTGTAATTTATAAGAATGGGCGTAATAAAGCATTGCATCATATTTGAAAAAACGGTTCCCTTTTCTATATGGCTAATCCTCTTCAGGTTTTTGGTGTGCTGGGGCCTATCCAAGATGACTAAGGGTGAAAGATGGACAGTGTCTGGGCAAATTTAGAGTCAGATGAACATTCACACTGTAACTGAATGGGAACTGTAGCAAAGGGGCCTTCACCCAAGTCAGGTGAGTGTACCACCAAACTGTCAGTGTGATATTATACAGTTGCACCTAAACGTAATATGTACGGTGCTCTGCAAAAATAGCTATTTTCAGTGTGTATTATGCAACAAAGAGCTGGGTGAATGGTCTACTATAATCCACTAGGTTACATGGCACTTTGAGAGATGGCGTTTTCATCTGAAAATGGAAGCCAATAAACAATACTGTAAATACATTTTTAAAATGGCTAAACAATAAAACATAATAACATGGTTTAAAAAAGCAATTCAATCCAAAAAGAGACGTTTAGGCAGTGTAGTGTGGTTACAGAGCTTAATAATGTTATTCAGTCATTTAAAAAAAAGAACTACAAATACAATCATTGATATTCTGAAACTACAGAAGTTCATTTGTCGCGTGAATGACGTCAACTTCCTCCGACTCTCCTTGCTATCCCAACTGCCAAGCAAGCGGGGAATTTGAATGAAGGAATTTTTGTTCGCGTCTCCTCCTCAGCCAGTACCACCAGACCAAAAGATCGATTAGTGGTAGGAATAACTTGAGGACGTAATTTATTCGTTGAACTTGTTGACTGTTCGATTTTAAGAATGACGTAATCATATAGCACCGGCATTGTTTGTAACGTTAGCCACTTTGCTTGGCTATCTGGGAAGGTGTAACTTGGTTCGCAAATTGACTGAATGAATTAAAATGTAGAATACGTGTTTATTTGGTTATTATAGTAAGATAAATTATAGAGTGGTTTATCATGAATATGTGCTTTCTCACGGCAACAGCATCTCACAGACTGAAAGACAACGATCAGGTTAGCTAACTTGAGCTAGTTTACGAACTACACTGCACCGAACAATTTGTTGGATTGTTTTTTCGCAATGGATGATACCTCATCGACCTCGACTAGTATTCCTCGCCTGTCTTTCCTTCGGAGGACAATGGACCAGTTATCGACCAGCCAAAATAGTAAACTAAATGTGGAGGAAGAGGAGGCGGCGTGTGTCGCTGTCATCGCACTTCAGCGCTACTTGTGCGACCCAAGTGAAGGACAGCCGTGTGAGAGCTACAGCTACGACGTGACTGTCACCGACGGAGTGTGGCGTGCCAAATGCTACCTTCACCCAAGTTTAAATCACTTGGTTCACACCAATAGCCTTAGAACAGGCTCAGACATCATCATCGCGCAGTGCTCGTTCGTTTATAACGAGCGGAGACTGGGTCACGGCTACATCAGCATCGAAAAATTAAGGTGCAGCTCGGGTGAATCCTCGCTGCTGTCTCACATTCGGGATGTGAGGACACTGCCTGTTCTGGTCAAAAGCGGCATGGAGAGGAGCACCTTACTCCAAAGCGACGTACCCCTTGAGCTGAACCGCAAACACTACTTGTCTCTGTGGAACAATGAGTATCCAGAGGGGGACGTGTGGACCTCGGCGCCTCCCTCGTCGCGTGATCCAGTGCTGGACGGTGAGATGCTGCGTTCTCTGTCATGCTGCTTTCACACCCGCATGCAGGGGCGCAGCCATCATATCAGAAGTGGGGCAGATGCAAATTGTTCAGGAGTATGACTTAATGAGTAAAAGGTCACCGTCTTGCACTGAAACGCTCCTTTCTGTTTTGGCCGAAAAGGAGCATAAAATACCAAATTGTAAAACCCTAAATAAGTCCAATGGCAACACTGAACATAACAATTCTGTAAAAAATAAAATTCTTGTATGTAGCCTTATTGGACAAAAATGGAAAGTAAAAAGGTTTTGTACAATTCAAAATATATTTTTAAAACTCCTCTGATTTCAGACTCTCAAATGTGAATACTGTACTTTCTGATTTGAAAGCAAGCATTATATATTTATCAATTTTCTTACACTTGTCCTATATAGCCTGTTAAGTCCATAATTTCGTTGCATGAATGTGTAATGACAATAAAGCGATCCAATCCAATCCAATCCAATATAGACCATTTAGGGCTTCACTACTGAATACATTTATAATCAATTATTCTATATATTATTCCATCAAATAATCTGATGCAATTTCATTTTGCATCAAAGTGTAAAGAACATTTTCCCAATTTCTTTTTATTAATCAATTGTTTATTTGGTATTGAAAAAAAACTAAACTATTAAGCAATATCACACGAGAGGGACTGATGTTGCACTCTCCAAACTTTTCGAAACTGCTCTTCAATTGTACTGTAGTTTTTTGTTTTTGTTTTTTTGTCTCTTGCAGGAGGCTTTGCTTGTTTTTTCAGCATACTTCTGTTTGTCTCATCTGTTGTTTGTGTTATTGGCATTCAATGGTGGCTCAGAAAAATGTTCAAAGGGAACTGAATTGCTTTCATGGGTGTAAAAGGGGGTGTGTGTGTGGAGGGGCAGAAGGGTGAGATCCAGAAAATTATACTGGTATGTTCCCCTTGACTTCCCCACCTAAACAACACCACTGCCTGCAGATTGTATTAATGACCTCCAATGTCCTATTGCCCACCAGTGAACAGGATCTCTCTTATAAATAACCTGGAGTCAGCATTTAGGAGCACATGCAAACCCCTCCCTCTTCTGGTGAAGATATTACAGAAATCCAGATTGAGATATTATGGCAAGATCGGATCCAAGATTGATTTCCCCTACCAGGTGAGTTTAAGCCCACAGCAGTGGTTCACAAACTGAGGTCCCCGACTCCCCAGCGGTCAATAAAAAAACTTTTTTGTCCTATCAAAACTAAAATCGCTGAGTTGACAACACTGACTTTGCTTTGGTAAACCAGCTCCTCCTGATAAGATGCCATGTTGTTAGTGGAAGCTGTCCAAGTGAAGTAGCAACAATGGTTAAATATTGAATTCTATTTCCTTTAGTTAAGTTCATTTATATTGACCAGGTCATGAATAAGTAGGCTGAAATGTTTAAAAAGGGAGAAATCATATGGTATTTAGTGTTGCACATGGTAGCTACTTAGGTTTAACTGGTGTTGGATGATGAAGGGGCCCTTGGAAATATTTCTCTCCCGTAGGGGGCTCTGGGCCCAAAATGTTTGAGAACACATCACCTCCGCTGTAATCCATTTGAATACCACCTGACCTTTACTTAATTTTCTTCTAGGCATACTTTGAAGTTGCAGACCAGAGCGGCATCATGTCTCTTGTGCTTTGGAATGAGCTCTGTCCACAGTTTTACAACTCGCTCAATGTTGGAACGGTGTTGTACATCCAGAATTATGCTCTTAAGCAGAGTTATTCAAATCGTTCACGCCCACAAATGGACCATTATGGAATCAAGATGTTCACCTCAATTGGTATGTGTTCCATCACACTTAAACTTGGTAACAGTTGTTTTCAACCGTGTATATGACTTTAATTTGACTTTTGGACCAGTGGTGGTGTGCTAATAATCATGTGTGATTTCACTTCGAACTTTTATCTCTCAGAAATCTGCCTGAACGCTCGCAACCCAACTTCAATTATCACAGTGGTGCCACCGAAGAATGTTCAGCCTCAGTGGTCGTTGCCTGATGTGTCCTACCGCTTTGCCACAAGGTGATTTCACCTCAAATCAGTTGGTTGTCTGTACTTTGTACTTGAGACCTACACATGCTTTTTGGGGGTTTGTGCAAATGCAAAAATGCTTTTTTTCCCCCTCAGCATTTGTGTTGTTAGCCATGATTAATTTAAGATTTCCGTTGTTCCAGATCAGATGTTGAAACGTTTCCCAACAACTCTGTGTGTGACATCATCGGTTTGGTGACATTTGTTGGTCGTGTTGAAAGAGTAAAAAGGAAAGGCAACACAGGTGAGAGCTGTCAAACCTACCAGAAACACTTGATCAACACTTGAATTCATACCTAAGTTGGAATCTCTTACTAACTGTGCTGGCACAGTAATAAAGTCATAGTCACTGAGAAACCGTTGATCTCCTCAAAACCTTGTGTGTCAGGACCATTGCAAACCAAGGATCCCGTGGAGTTTGATAGCTGTGGTGTTTGATTTACCTTTTTTTGCTTTTATTGCAGGCCCCGAGAAGTACTGGTCTTTCCGCTGGGTCCACGCAGTGGATGGCACATCGGAGCATCCTTTTGTCCTAGAATTGTTTTCCTCCTCCCAGCCAGAAATCTTTGGCAATATATGGCCAAGTATGACGCCTCATATGTTCCCTCTGTTGAAGTCTAGAGCAAATCATCTCAGTTTGTGAAAAAAAAAAAATCTTCTCTCTCCCTAAGTGACTTACCTAGTCTGCACTCAGATGCGAGTGTGTCAAGTGGAAGGATCCTTGCCTTACCTCACCAGTAGCTGCGAGACAGAGATGTTCATTACAGGTTGGCACCATTCAGATCTTAAATCTCATCTGTCTGTAGTTAAAGGGACGACGAGTTGTTCAGTGCGGTTTGCAATTTGCCGTAACAGGTTACCACAAGGGTCAACCATACAAGAATGACCCCACAGTGCAGAACCTCATCCAGCGGAACAAGACTCTGAAGGACAACGTGGTCCTTCAGAAGGCGTATATTGGTGGCCATTATTGCTACCCTCATGCCCCGTGCACATTCACCCAGCCGGTGGGAGAGACCTCAGGTGAAGTTACTGTTTTATTTATATCACTTTTTTTCCCAAAATAAAAAAGAAATCATTTTCATTGTGTGAATGAAGAGCAGCGATGATGTTACATCATTAAAAAATATTTTTCATTCCTTAATCTCCCAACATTCACTGGATTAACATTCTAATAACTACAGTCAAAAGTGAAAATACCAGAGGCCTCATTT